CTTTGTTTCTCCTCTCGCCCACCCCTCCGCCTTCCCGCCCCCTCACTTCTGCGGCGCGGGCGAGTCCCGGCGATCTCTTCTCTTTGCCCTTCTCCTGGTCTGTGGAAACGCCCCTTTCCCCTGGCCCCTGCACCCTCCCGCCCTCGGCTTTGCGGGCTCCCCAGGGAAAGGCGCGTGGTGGCCCAGCCCGACCCCGTTGCCGCCGAGTGCCAGGTTCGGTGACTCCGGCTAGTCTGTGGGGCCTCGGCCCACCCCTGAGAGGGGCCGCCCGCCCTCCCGGCTCCCAGGCTTGTCTCATGCCAAGGCCTGTTGCGTGATTCCAACTTGGGCTGACATTCCCTGCCCGGGGCGCTCCGGCGTAGGCCTCTTAATCATCTTGTCTACTGCAGATCCTCCACACCAGCCAATTTACTGCCCCGTCTCTCCCCGCTGGTTTCAGGAGGGGGGAGGGGAGTGCTCGAAAAGGAGGGGAGGGCACAGTCAACCGCAGGAGGAAGACTGGCACCAGCTACTGGCACTCAAACAACCCACGGAATTTGGAACTAGGGTGGGAGTTGGGGCACAGGGAAGTGGATCTGACAGGCAGCAGTTGCTTAGGGGAAGATCAGAATCGAGGGTCAATGGGTTTCAACTCTCTAGCTTGAGAAAACAATGCAGAAATGCAAAGGGACACTACATTGTGTAGCCTCCTTGTTTTTCCCCAGCCCCAACTCTGGACACTGTGGTAAAACAGACTTGGAGCAGTCTTCCAAATCAATCTGGCTAGAAAAGTCAGGGACCAGGATGATGCCACTGCACCCAGAAAGTCACCTCTGCCTTAACTCTGATTTTGGCAGAGATGAGTAGAAGACACATAACGTGGATGGCCTAAATAACCGAGAGTAGGGAGCTTGAATCTGACAAGCAGGGTTCTCTGGCCTGTGCCCAACCTTTTCTCCAGTAGAGGCGGGTCCCTTGGAGGGAATGGCTGAGGTTCAAACCCTGTGTAGAAAGATACTGGAGCTCTCCCAAAACCCTGGGATGCTGCTCTTCCACACAAGGTGAAGTTGGAAAGATCTCTAGGTAACTGTGGACATCATAATCACAGACAAAAGTAAAGCATCTGTGATTTGGGGCATTGTGATAAAACGGTAATGCTAAATAAGAAATAACTAAATTTTAGTGCTTATCATATGCCAAGCACTGTTACATCATTGCCTTATTAAGAGTTCATTAAGTTGTTGCTCACAACAACTCTGAACCATAGCTGTTATTATTTCTACTATCTTATAGATGTGCAAACTGTAGAGGCTAAGAGGGTTGCCCAAGGTCACATAGTCAGTGATTGAAGCCAGCAAGCTCCTAACTGTAGGCCTCAGTACTTCCAGGGAAAGGGACTATTAGTTCAGGCCAGCATTACATCCCTACCTTTAACTTTTGCAGGGAATGCCAAAAAGTATAGAGTCACTTCCAAACCTGGGAGCTGATTGTGTGGGCCCTTGGTAGACAGCAGAGCTGAATGGTGTGTGGACCTCTCCCCTCGAACAGTGTGAGGTGCAGAATGCCACTCCCACAGCAGTGTGCATCACTGAGTGTGCATATGTAAGTATGTCAGCATGAATGTGAATGTGTACGCATGAATTTGTGTCAATGTTATGTGTACAAGTATTTGTGCATTACTGCATTTGTGCATACTGCACTACTGAGGAAGTTCGAGTGTGCCATTGTGTGTGCCTGTGTGCAAGAGTGAGAGCATTGAATGTGACTGAGATTGTGTGCTTGTGTGTATGACTGTGTGCGCTAGCGTGGCACTGTGCGCCGGGTCGCCCTGCATTCCAGAGCAGCCAACCGTGCCTCCTGGAGGCGACTCAACAATTCTCGGCTCAATCAGCTCCCAAAGGGCCACCAGCATACAGAGGGGCGGGTCTAATGTGGGGGTCTGATCTTAGGCTGCAGCCGAACTCGGCCCGGGACAGCAGGTCCCCGGACCTGGCTCGGGTGCACCGCCTGGCCTAGGTGGCGGACGCGGGGGCGGCCCAGACCGCCCAGGCGCAGGGCCCAGGCGCCGGCGCCAGAGGGGCCAGGCGGGCAAGGCTGGAGCCGCCCAGCGCTGAGTGAGTCACGGCGCCGCGGGCTGGCTAACCCCGAGCCCGGACCCGGGCGGGGGCGGAGCTGAACCCTTTGCTGCGCCGGGCGAGGAGCGTGCCTGTCCTCCACCGGCCGCACCTCTCAGCGCTTGCAACCACCAAAAGGTGCAAAAGTCCGTTTCTGCTGACCGGGTTCGGGTCCTGGGCAGCAGCTTGCGCTCTGAGTGCATGACAGACGGAACCCCGGCACTCAAAATAAATACATAAATAAAATAAGCAAAAATAAAAAATAAAAAACCCCACACACACTCCAATGAAAACAATAATTTATTTAAATAATCTCTTCATATTGTAAAATCAACATTAAGAGCATGTTGTTTTCATAATAAATAATCCCAAAATACCTTGCATTTAAAGAACAAAGACTTTAGGATAAGATAAAACAAATTCAAATCAGTAGCTTAATTTAACTGACAGTTTTGTTTTTTTTTCAAAGGGAAAAAGAAACGGAGGGTTGCTGAGGTCACTGCTAAACCGCAGTTTTCACAACTGGGGGTTTACAAAAAAGGTGAAAAGATGAGGATTTTTACACAAATCAGTGGGAAATCTGCACAGACACTTTTATTTACAAACTCTGTGTTGAAGTCCAGGCTAATAATCCTGAATAAATTTTAAAAAAGATAATTTAAACACATTTTTGCAGTGTCCACATATTAAAAAATCATTTTCTCCAACATCAAAATGAGGTCATCCGCAAAGGCACCTAAACTTTTAAAAAAATAAAAATAAAAAAACTCCACTGGTGATGGATGAGGAGAGAGCTGAGGGAGCGTTGGTGGGGTGAGCTTAGGTGGGAAGGGATTGGGGGCACCGGGGGCTGGGAACAACCCCGCAGGAAAAAAAAAAAAGCTGCGGGTCCGCCTGGGTCAAGGGGGCACGGGGTTGGGGGAAGGGCTGGCAGGCAGGACCCCGGGAGGTCAATAACCGAAGCGGACTGGAGCTGAGCCCGGAGGCGAACGAGGAGAAAGGAACCTCAGAGTGCCCGAGAAGCCTCACGGGCGGGGGAGGCGTCCTTCTCCGAGACCCAGCACAAGCCCCGGGGCGATGAAGGCGCCGGACAGCCTCGCCAGGCGGAGAGGGCTGGGGAGGCGAGTCCGAGGAGGGGTTGGGAATGGCCGAGGCTCCGGGTTCAGGTCGGAAATGTGACCATCGAGAGCGGCCTTCCCATGCAGCTGTTAGGGTCCTCGGAGAGGAGCCTGCGAGGCGGGGAGAAGCCTCCCAGTTCTGCCCTGCTTCGTGGCTGAGAGAGGGAGCAGCGCTTAGGGCGGGCCATCCTAGGCCGCAGCCTCAGGGACTGCTGGGTGGCGGCCGCTGGCCAGCGGGAGGGACCCACCGGCTGTGGAGGCAAGCCCTGGGAATCGCTGGTCTTTGCTCTGTCTCTGCAGCGGCCTCCGTGGGGTTAGAAAATCGTCCCTGCGCTCACCGGGGCGCCCCCTCCGCCGTGGTGATGATGGTGGTGGTGGTGAGGCTGCGGGGTCTGAGTGGGGTGCAGTAGAGGCGCTGTGGCCTGCAGGTGTGAGGCAGAGCCCGACGCCTGGTGATACCACGGGTAGTTGCCCAGAAAAGCCGAGGCTGCGCTGCTAGGACTGGAGCCTGAACTGCCCGCACCGCTGCCTCCGCTGCCCGGGCCGCCGCCGCCCGCCATCCGCTGAGGCGCGCCGAAGTCCCAGGAGGCCGGCGCCGAGACTGGAGGCGAGGCACACGGTGGCGAAGAGCTGGCCCCAGGGTGCTGCTCCGAGGGTATCTCCCCGCTTTTCCACATCTTTTTAAACTTTGATCGGCGGTTCTGGAACCAGATTTTGACCTTTGTGGAAAAAGGACCCGAGCATTAGTGGAGGGACCTGAGCAAGGGGCAGGGAGGGGAGGGAGCAAAGGAAGACCGCCGGTGGAGGTGGCTACTGAGCATCCTGTGCAAGTGAGCGAATTATTTGCGGCGGCCTCTGAGATTCTGTTGCGTCCTGCTCCATTAGGAGGTAATCTCAAAAAGTTAAGGATGTGCTGACTACAAGTGACTGAATGTAGTGCATAGTGGTGACAGCCGGAGGGTATCAGTAGAGCCGGTTATTTTACCCGCTTAATCAGTAGCGGGTCGACCTGTGTTACTAGATTTCTGCCTACCGCTGTCCCTTTCCTTGCCTTCCACGGGGCGAGCCCTTGGGGATTTTCAGGTTTGGGCCTAGAGGTTTAGATTGCCCCATGTGCGAGCCTGGAAAAATCTAAAACTACTTAAAATATACTCTAAAACAAACAAAAATTGTCCACTTCTAGAACAACCCAGGCCAGCGCCCTCCTCGTCACCGTAGAGTGCGAGCCCCACCTGAGTCTGGGTGAGGCCCAGAGATGCCGCCAGCTCGGCTCGCTCAGGCAGCGCCAGATATTGAGTCTTTTGGAAACGCCGCTGAAGAGCCGCCAGCTGGAAACTGGAGTAGATAGTGCGGGGTTTCCGGACTTTCTTTGGCTTCCCATTCACTATTCGGATTTCAGGTTCGAGGTCTTCCTTCTCTGCAACGAAACGGAATCGTGAGAACCGCGCAGCCCAGGATTCTTGGTTGCCTAAAGGGTTCAGCGGGAACTTGAAAAGACCCGGGAGGCGGGTTTTTGGAGATGTTGCTTGGCTACCGGCGCAACTTCCCAGCGCCGCGGGCTGGCGCCGAACCTGGGAGCTGAACCCTTCAAGGAAGGGGAAGACTGGCACATGCCAGAGAGTAAGAAGATGCAGATGGCAAGGAAATTCATTTACCCGTAGGCATGCACCTTGTGCCCACTGGGCCTTTGAGGCTACCGGGTCCCACCGTTCAGAACCGAGGAACTTAAACCTTGACTCACCGGGAGACTGGAAACTGGGTAGGGTAAAGGGCAGGAGCAGGCGTTGAGTACGTAATGTGGAAGGTCAGGGTTCCGGACGGCCCCTCTCCCCAAACATATTTACCCCATCCATCCCAGTGACTAGACCGACTTAGCACCCTTGACACCAGCGTTATGCATACCAGGCTCGTTGTTCGCTGGGGACGAACTGGTCCCATAGGGCGCATAAGAGGTGTAAGCAGCGGTGTAGCCCAGGTCGTAGCCGCTTTTGGCGGAGTAAGGGACATTGTTGAGGCCGCTGGCATGGTACTGGTAAGAGCCCATGTGCGCGTAGGGCGAGCCCCCCCCGCCGCCGCCGCCCGCCGGGTGCTGTTGGTTGGTGTAGTAGCTGCTGTCGGTAGCTGTGGACACCGGAAGGGTTGGCGACTCCTGTGGCTTGTGGAGGCTGCTGGTGTTGCTGTTGCTGCCGCCGGGGCCCGCGCCGCCGCCGCTCGGGGGCTGCTGGTGCTGGTGGTATGTGCTGGAGGCCGTGATCTGGGTCGAGTGCATATCAGCCACCAGACTGTCAAAGACTCCAGTCATCCTGGCCCGGGACGGGAAAGAGCAGGGGTGGCGGTCGTGAGGGGGAAGCGAGGCGCCTCCTCTGTCTCTCCCGGTCCCTTTCAGCAGCCAATGTAATTACTGGGAGGTGAAATGGGGGGTGGGGGAGAGGAAAACAAGAAATGAGGCAACGGTCTAGGCGCCTCCTCCTCTGGGGGAGGCTATCACCATGCGCTGCTTGGGACAGCTGCGGCGGGCCTCATACTCTCTCGGCCTCTCGGCCCTCTCGGCTCCTTGCCCAGCGCGGGCTCGGGCGGGGGGCGGGCAATGGAGGGGGCAGGGGTGACTGGGACCGGTCGGGCTCCAGGAGGCGGGAGCAGGTGAGCGGCCCGGAGCAGCTTTACGATTGTCTGCCAGGCGGGCTCCTGCAGGGTGGGCATTTAACACTTGTCACGTGAGCGCTAGCGACGTCACCTAGCAACAGCCAATCGGAAGAAACGAACCGTGGGGCTCCAGGCACCCGAGAACTCACGGCCAGGGGTGGGGGCGGGTGTCACATGGCGGGCACTGTGGCTGCGGCGGCCGCCAGTGCGTGCAGGCAGCCGCTGAAAGTGAGCAGAGACGCGAGGGAGTTGGGTGGGCGATGGGGGTGCAGGATGGCCCGCAGTAGGACAGAGGCGTGAAGTTAGAGACTGACATTTTACCCCAGAGGAAGAAGTGGGGTCTTCCATCCTATTCTGTGTGCAAAGGCCAATTCCAGTGATTTGTACCTTTCTGCCCGAGGTGGGTCGGTTTTCAAATATATTAATCAAATAAAGCAGTGCAGAGAGCCGGACCAGCAGTATCCCGCTTTTCCTGGCACTTGCTCTTGTCAGCCACTCAGCACTTGACAGTCAATTGATTTAAATTATCCATAAACCATGTATAATAATAACTACTTCCTAACCAACCCACGGGGATATTAGGACAATTAATTGGATAATATTTAAACGTTTTTTCCTTGTTGCTTGAGAGAAAAGCTATATAAACCCAAAGGTATTATTACTTTTCCTTGTACTTTCCTGACATGCTGAGGCTCTGAGTAATTATGTACATTTGATGGGTAATTGACACCCGGAAAGCGATCTCAGGGCTTCCTCTTTAGGGTGGAAAGACCAGCCAGACCAGATGGCCTTCAAAGTTCATTCTAACATCATTTAAATTCCACGTTTTTTAAGGAGAAGGAAATGAAATAATCCTTAGGTGAGATTATAGATTTATCGTCTCAATACTAGATTCATCACGTCTTGCAACTTACAGCAAATACAAGTTTTATTTCATGCACTTAATTTAATCCTATTTTGCAGTTTTGCACTTTAGGATCCTGTTCTGCTCTATCATTGCACATACCCACCCCAACCTCCCCCCTTTTTTTCAGTCTTGGAGATCCTTCTTTTATTTTTTTAAAAAAATTTTAGTTGTAGATGGACACAGTGTCTTTATTTATATTTATATGGTGCTAAGGATAGAACCCAGTGCCTTCAACTCATGCAAGGCAAGCGCTCTACCACTGAGCTACAAATCCAGCCCCCTCCTTTTATTTTTAAAAATCGAAATCGAAATTCCTCTCTATCTCCATATCCTGTTGGTTATGAACGAACGAACACACACACACACACACACACACACACACACACACACACACACACACACAGGCCTTGCTGGACTTCCAAGGATGAAAAATCCTGCGGAGGCCCCTGCTTTGTGGCGCCACCTGGTGGACCGCGTGTGAGGTTGCGATGGGTCGTGTAGACGAACTAATCACGCCCAGGCGCCAGTCTCTGAAACCCCCCAAAAGAACAAAATAGTAATTAAAAGCCACAAAATTGTGCTAGTGCGAACCATCTGAAGCACCCTTTCCTAAAGATATAACATGTCGCTGAAAGAACTTGTTACAACAACTGCCTAATGGAAAACAAGTCGATACTTTGAAAAATACGGTCTTTGGTCTCTTCCCCAGAAAAAGCAAGTGTGTAATTATAACTCAAGCATTCACACAGAGGAATAACAAGGCAGGTAATGCGCCCTCCCGTCTGCCTGGATTTAGTTATTTTGGTTAAGAAAAGATGGGGAAAACGAGTTTAAATGCTTAGCAACGGGATACACCACCAAGGGACCCCTAAAGCTGCACTCTGCTTGGTGGGTTCCCAGTTTAAATTCTTGATGTTTAGTACAGATTGTCCTTTGGTGTCTTGACTTTAAAATCGTCTATGTCACTATTGTGGTAGCTGTTTTTATCTAATACAGAAGAAAATTTCCCTGAAAATGAAAATTTAAGAATGTAATGGCTGTCTTTCTTTTCTCTGCTTCTTTGTTCCCATCCCAAGCATGTCCTCTGGGCCTTTTCACTGTGGCAAATTTGTTGTATTTTATTTCTTTAGAAAACTCCACTAACAGCCTAAAGTCCAGGTCAGTTGCGATCTGGAAAATAGCATCTTTTTGGAATGAAATATGACTACAGCCCCCTTTATTTGGGGAAGTGGAAGACCAGAGGTAATGAGCAAGGGTGCCGCAGTCTGGCTGGGCACAAATCACGAGCCACTGAAGCAGGAACAAACTTTATTTTTAAACTGCAGGAAAACACTTCACACAGCTCCCGGGGAATCCTCCCGAACGCGCCAGGAGGCTTGTCCAGGAACCCCCAGCCGGAAATATCTCTCCCGGAAATCCCTCCTCCTGCACTTCCCCAACCAATGGGAACTCTCGGGGAATCCCCGGAAATCCCCATGAGAACTCCAAAATAGTGCGAGAACTCAAAAGTTGCGGCAGAGGCGGATAGTAATGCCTCGCCTGTCAATCAATACTGTTGGCAAAATGCCAGGGGCCATACAGACTCGGCCGTGGCTCTCAGCATCTCCCCCTTTTTGTTTAATTAAACAACAAGCAATGTGGCTTAGGGACCGTGCCTGTTAGGCAGTCCAATTCAACATATGGTCCTTACCCGTCATCGGATGAACTGACCTCTAGGCGTCAGCCTCCTGTCTTAGGTTGGTACCACTGCAATTGGATCATACCCGTCACTGACTACCGGTCCAGCATACAGCCATACTTGTGGATAGGCCTTTGCACCAGTGGGGGGTGAGGTTCTTTGCCTCACCTCTGTTGGCCCCCAAATTTTAGACCAGCACTAGTAGAAGGGAGGAGGATGCAAAATGCCATGACACTAAGCCAATTGAGGGCTCCTTTGAAAAATTGTACCACCGGTGACACCATCAGCAAAAATACTCCAGCACTACCACAATTCGCTGTACCAACAGATAGTTCACAATACATACAAATGATACATAGTCCAGGCAAGGTCTGCAAGCAATTCAAAGCAGAGGAATCTGTCAATATGTCCATTTCCTCCCAAAGTAAATCAACTCCTTAACTGAGCATTACTTGTTGAGTTATTATTCATTGATGCATCAGTTTTTACAGTTTGTTGTGATAACTATCGAAGAAGCTGTAGTTTGGTTTTATCTTTGTCTTCACCGGCACTGGGATGAAGATAGGAATTCTGGCAATGATGCTAAGAAAAAAATTATGTAACATTCCAACAGGCACTAAGAAAACAATTTTTTGAACAATTTACATTATCCTGAACAGAATTATTAAATATAATGAGAAGGAAAGGTGAAAGTAAACAAACAGATCTGTTAACCTCCTTATTTGTTCACATATTAAAACAATTTTCAACAGCTGTTTACCCAATCTAAATTAAACCATTAAAATCACATGAATAAAAAAAATTTGGATCCATTTATTCATGAGCGCTCCTCATATATGATATATGGACATACACACATACAGACATACAACACAAAACAGAAGTGTGCACACATAACATACAACACATAAGACAATAGTAAAGGCCTTGTAGCTTTACCTAGGTGAAATCTCCATTGCAATGCTTAAAAACTCCACAGTCAAAAAATAAAACTGATCAGAAAAACATTATCCTAGGTCTGTATGAGCTCAAAAATAAAATAGAACTTTATGATGTGGGAAAAGGCAAATAATAAAATAAATATTGAAAAAAACATCCTGGTTAATCACCGTCGCAGATGTAAGAATAGCCAAACTGGAGTTCTGGATATCAGCTGTTATGGATTTGAGTCAAATCATCTTCCTTTTGGCCTGTAGAAATTGTTTTAGTTAATCTCTCTGGAATCCAAATCGGCTGCTGTTCTCCCTGTGGAAAAACACAAACAGAACCCCGACTCCAGACAATCACTGGGTCAGGACCTTTCCATTGTCCTGTTAGAATATCCTTCCAAAGTACCTTAGGCTTATGTACATTTTTTGGACACATATGCCTTTCCGCAGCACTAAGCCCTGAGGAATCCAAATTTAAAAAGTTTAGAGTAAAAAGGGTTATTTTAAGTTTATCTTTGGGTGACATATACCCCTTTCCAATTCCCTCTTTTTGCTTTAGTAAGTACATTTTAATAGTTTGATGAGCTCTTTCAACTATGCCTTGTCCCTGTGGATTGTATGGAATTCCTGTTATATGAGTAATGCCAAATGATGAGCAAAATTGTTTAAAAGAGGTAGAAATATAACCAGGACCATTATCTGTTTTTAACTGTTTTGGAACGCCCACAGTGGCAAAATTTTGTAAGCAATGAGCTATAACATCTTTAGTTTTTTCTCCGGAATGAAGGGAGCCCATCAAAAATCCGGAAGAAGTATCAACTGTAACATGCAAATATTTTAATTTTCCAAATTGTGGCAAGTGTGTGACGTCCATCTGCCAAATATGGTTAGGTATCAGTCCTCTAGGATTGACTCCAAGATTAACTTGTGGTAAAAAGGTCACACAATTTTGACATTGTTTTATTATTTGTCTAGCTTGTTCCTTAGTTATTTTAAAACGCTTTTGTAAAGTATTAGCATTGACATGGAACCTTTTATGAAAATGTGTAGCTTCTTCTAGTGTAGAGAAAATATGTATGTCATGTGTAGTTTTATCTGCTAAATCGTTGCCCAAACTAAGGGCTCCAGGCAATCCTGTATGTGCTCTGATATGTCCTATAAAGAATGGATCTTTTCTGTCCCAGATTACACTTTGTATAGCAGAAAACAAAGAGAAAACAGTAGAGGAAGGGGAAA